AGATCAATCCGGTTATTAACAGGGGCTCTTTAACCAGTTCAAGGCTAAAATGTTTGCGTACAGGACTATGAATCATCGTTATATAGCATGATTCTAAAATAACAATACAATTAATTACCATATTCAAATAATTCATCGTTTAAGCCGAAATAAATCGGGGGACAAATCATCCGACAAGAAAATCAAATAACCAAAAATCAACTTACACACAACTTTTTTAAAAACCGCGAAACATATGATTACTCGGTTAGCTCTAAATAGATCGTAGATATCGGATAATAAAGAGTGTACGCGAATTCGGGAAATCAAACATATACAATTTTACGAGATTTGTTCTACTGTACTACAGGTAATGACAGGGTAGATCAAAATCAATAATACCGAAATAGAAATCGGATCTCCAGGATAGAATTCTATATACAGAATGGTACAACGGCAATCAAGATTAGCAATCAAGCGACCATGAGAAAATAAATTACTGAATCAGGTATCGCACATTAAAAGTTAGTCTAACAACTTCACGCGACACAAAATTCAGGAGCAAGTGTTACATCGGATGCGAAGATGTAACATGCGACGGTTCAATATGCATTCACACCTTTGCTTCGCCATATGCATATACCCAATAAAATGCAAGATTTTGCGTACGAACGCCATTTAATTTGCCGTATGACCATACACTACGTGAAATTTTCAACATCACTCCGTTCCTGGTACCGTCAGCATTATTAGCCAACTCTATACACTTCGATCCTTTTGCTAGGTCCAAAACCAACATTAATGCTATTGAACTCTGACTTCGTGACCTAACTTCCAAGATTCTAAGCCATGCACAATATTTTATCGTATTTAATATTGTGGCAGATTAAAATGAAATTTGCATAGTATAAAATAGAAAAGTCACAAAAATCCAAAATTTTGGAATGCATTTTTGTTTAGCTTTTTTTAGGGTTAAGGGTCAGCTTTAGAGGCAGTAGAATTTATAATAAACAAGTATAAGTAGTTTTAAGAGGTTAAATAAAAACACCAAATTTTATTTTAATCCGATTTCATTATTATATAGTGATATAGTAGATAAATTACCGGTATTTGTATTTGTAATATGATTTTTGTCCATGGCTTCTTAATTAAAGCGTTAATTAATTATAACATTTTATGTAAATTTCTAATTTACTGTTTATATCTAAAAAACATTTTCTAATTTTTATTCTTGCGTGATTAGATCATAGGACCAGCCTTCAACTAAGTAATAAGTTGAATCTTTGGTTGAGTCTTTAGTTTTAGATAAATCTCGCGCGATGAGACCATAGGGCGAGTCTTCAGCTGAACCATCAGTTGAGTCTTCATTTGAGTCTTTAGTTGAGTCTTCAGCTGAGCCATCAGTTGAGCCTTCATTTGAGTCTTTAGTTGAGTCTTTAGCTTCAACGATTTTTTGAATTTCAGGAAGTAAATCTTGTAAAATTTCATTATTTTTTTCATCTTTAAGATTTTCTACATATTTTCTAAGTTCATAAATTGAAGCATCATAATATCTAAAATATTTAAATTAAATATTAGCATATATAATATTTGCGATATAAATAAATCAAAATCATTACAAAATTTCCGGAAACCAGTTTTTTGGTGAGGAAGCATCCAAAATAGCTCGATTTCAAATAATTTCTAATAATATTAATCAAATCAGTTATTTTATACCACTAATTAGTAATGATAAATAAATTTTACCTCCGCTTTTGTTTGTAAAAATATTTCCTCACAATCTTTTTTTTCCATAGTAATTGAAAGTAATGATATAAATAAATTCAACAAATAAATTGTTGTAAAAAATAAAAATGCAACCAATAAAAATGCCAATATCCAGTCATCTTGTAAAACCCAGGAAGAAACAGCACTTGTATCACCTAAAAATGAAATATTTTATTTATAAAAAAAATAGATATAATAATTTTTTACAATATTTGCTTAATGAATTATATATTATATAAATACCAGTTAGCATAAAATATACTGCTAAAAAAGATGTACTAAATCTTGCAAATAAATTTGTATTATCATTCGGAGTTTCAATAAATGATTTTTCTCCAATAGCACCATTAGATAAAATAGATTGATAAGTTGGAACAAGATTCCAAGGATTATTACTATCATCAGTATAACTTGGTTGATTATAAGAATATTTACTTGTTGGCCTTAATAAAAGATGTAAAGAATGGGCAAAAGCAAAAACTGTTAAGCATAAAATGACGAAAAAAAACAAAAAAATCTGTTTTGCAACTTCAATTATAATTGCAAAATATATCCCTAAGCTATCTATAACACGAAAAAATAAAATAAATTTAATTTCAAGAAAAAAGGTAGCAATAGTTATAAGTTTGACTGATAAAGTTTTATTGTATAACCACATTATTGAGGAAATGGTCGGAACTAATATTGCAACAAAATCTATAAATTACTATTATTAGAATTAAATTATAAATAAAATATTATATTAAATTAGCTATTATATAAACATACCAAACCAATTCCAGATACTAGTAAAATACAACATTGGCTTGTGAATAAATTGGCGAACTTCATTAATAAATGAACAAATCCCCCAAAAAATGGTTGTTATCAAAAGAATTACTTGAATATCCCAAGAAATTTCATTTTCTGGAATTGTCGAAACTATTAAAAAACAGCACATGAAAATTGAATAAATTGTCCAAATTATCAAATAATATCGCCTTCCATAAGTATTCCACTTGAATTTAATAAGAGCTTTAATATTCCACCACTTATAATATTCAGGTGCATCAAGTGAAGTAAAGGGAACACCAGATAAATAAAATAATTCAAAGTAAGAATAATCTTTAGGATATGTAGCAAAATTCAATAAAGGAATCATTAATTTTACAGTTTTTTGTGAAGATTTAGTATAATGAAATGAGTAAAATAAATAAGGAAATGCTAAAATATTATAAATTTTAGGATGGTTAATTTTTAAAAAGTTCTATTTTTCAGAAATCCAAAAAAGCAAGTAATCAAATGATGAAACAGTAGATAAAGGCGAGTGATCATAAATTCCACAATGTCGAAGATGTGATAATGTAGAATAATTATCTATAGCATTAGTATAATTTTCAGGGACTAGCAAATTAATTTTAGATAAAAATCTTTTAGTAAATTTTAAATTTCTATTATATTCTTCTAATTTTATTAATGCAGAAGCAATTTGACTTGTAAACAATATAAAGTCGTAAATATCACCATTCTTAAACATTAAAAAACTATATTTGAAACATTTAGCAAATAATTCCTCAATATCATCCTTGTTCAATTCACGTTGAGCTAGTTTATGGAATCTATCTTTTCCATATAATTTTACTGCCAATTCATTATTTATATAATTAACCTGCCAACTTGGGTATGGTAAATATTTAAAATTCGATTTATCAATCTTTTTAATAAGAAAATTAAAGACAGCAAGATTTCTCTCAATTGATTGTCGAGCAGTTTCTGTTTCTTTTTTCTCTCCATTACTCCATTTATAAACTAAACTAAGTGTTTTGTTTTCAGTATTTACTGCATAAATTAGTATGCCTTCAGAGTAAGCGAATATAATATCTCCATTTTCGAGCACTTTATTTTCTAAAATGTAACTATCTTCTTTGTCAGTATGTGCCCAAAAAGATTTTCATTCATAGTTGATTCATCACCGATCATTGCTTTTAAAGTTATCAAATAATTATCTTTTCCACATGGGGTGGTATTTATAATCCAAGTGTATGACTCTTCGTAGGATAATTTTTTGGGTTCATTTGAATAACTCTGAATTAAATTTTGACCTGATTTACACTTTTTTAGGGCATCCTGCACAAATTGGTTAATTTCTTTTATGTTGAAAAATGTATTACTAACATGACGCTTTTGGCCTTATAAATAAATTTTCCAACTTTATCATGTGATAATCTTTGAATCGACAAAGCATTAATATCAAGGTTTATAATAAAATTAGAGATGATATTATATTGATATTCTCTATAATTTTTATGTGTTGGAGAATAAATATTTAAAAAATCTTTAGTGCCTTAAGGCTCAAGTGTGTGAGGATTCAGTATATAAGAGTTATACTTCATAGTGCCATTTTGCGGGCCAGAGAAAAATAGATGTTCTTCTTTTGGTCCAATAAAACAAAAATTGTGCAAACTTTCTTTAAATGAACCTGAATTGTAAATGAAATTAAAAATCATACAATTTATATCTACAGATAAACTTTGTATATAAAATACTTACTATGTGCCATCACAGCACCAGATTCTGTTGAATAAACATAGATTAATGTTTCCCAATTGGATGCTCGACTAGCTACTGCTAACAATTTGTTATCGCTATCATTTCAAGTTTTAAATCATAAGTATATAAATTCCAATTTAATATATATTGCATCTCAAACTCCAAAGTTTTTAAGTTCCATTGCATGATTACAAAAGGTATTTCAAAAACTAATAACAATTTTCCATTTTTGAAAATAAATGATTTACCAAAATTTTTGAGTTTGATGATTTTTTTACATGTCCATTGTTGTTTGCCATTAGTCTGTGAAAAGATATAGGCCCGACAAACGGGATATTGTTTGACAATCGCCAAATCTCCATTCTCAAGAAAGGTAACACTATCACGATCTGTGACGATTTCTCCTTTTAACCCTTGTGCATTTAATTCTTGTCTCGATTTAGTCGTAATGTTAATAATTTTTGATGAAATAAATTTGTTAATATAAATTAGAATCAAAACACAGCGTTTAATTAATTTCAACTTACCAAAACCATAAGGATCTGCCTATCTATTTGTAGTATGAATTGTTTACAGTTGAGACTCCTATTAAACCACTTATCGAAGGTATTTCTTTATTTTTTTTGAAGATAATATTTTCAAGATCTTCGGAGCTTATTGATTTATCAAACTTAAGTTTAGGTTCTTCCGTGATGGTCCATCCAAAAATTGATTGGTCTTCTCTACTCCAGGTTACAATATATTGCATATTTGGTGAAAAAACATATTTACTTATTTTCTTTCCTCTGTGTGGCACATTGATGATTCGTTTTTCTCTGTGCGAAGCATCTTCTTCCACATCGATTCTCAATTCTTCGGACTTTGATGAACTCATTTTAGGCGCATAGGAATAATAAATTGAACGAACATGAAAGTTTAGAGTTTAAGATAGAAATTTTCATATGATTGTGGTTTTTAATTATACTAATATTTGATAGCGAAACGACTTGTTATTCAATATTTATCAGCCTTTGAAAACAATAATGCATGTTGGCTTGATAATACAGTATATTGATATCATACACAGCCTGACAAAGTATTCCATCCAGTATTGATCGTCAATTTAAATGGCTGGCATAGGGCGTTCTCAAGCGCCTTAATCAATGGGACAATAAATGTCGGTGAATATATTTTACTTAGCGGAAAATATTGTAAGCGTTTAACATAAAAGCCCTAGCGTTACCAATAATCGACGGCGCAGTCACGTGACCTTCCGGACCTTCCGGACCTTCCGGCCAACAAA